GTGTGTGTGTGTGTGTGTGTGGAAGGGGGGGGAGGGAAGTTATCCGTCCATTAATACCAAGGGCCATTCACAACTAGTGAGGCTCAAAACATAGAAAGAAAACAACAACAAAAGTGAGGGAGCGAGGACGGGATCAAGTCACACCCTACAAGCAAACTCGAAGCTAAAATTAGGAATAATAATAATAATAATAATAGCTTAAAAAAAAAATGGCCCCTGTGAAGGGCAAATTCGTCATGGTCATCATAATATTGGTGGCGATGTGCCGCTCCCTCTTTGCTTTTCCTACATGACCACTCAACCCAGGCAAGGAGAATTCCGCCCTATTCATGCATTGCTGCCGGGTTTTGTTTTGTTTGCCTCTTTCGGTGTCTATCCAATGCACACGGCTGGGGGACCGCGTTAGCCACAAAAATGCCTGAAGCGATAGAGAGGAGGGAGAGAAGGAGGCAGCGCCCAAGCAGCCCCCGGTCATCTCTAGAAATAATAGCAAAAAACACACACATATAAAAACGAACATGAGAATAACCACACTGTTTTTCTTTCTTTTTTTGAAACAGCAGCGTACCTTCCAACGTACTTTTTTTCTACCGCAATAACGGACGCAATACGGCCTCCAAAAACCGCGAGGCCCTCCCTGCACGTTTTTCCGGCGGGTCCGTACTTCCCCCGCCGATGATGGTTACCTTTCGCTTCGTCGCCTTCAGCGGCACGCTCTCTCTGCTTCGACACACCGGTGCCTCCCTCTTCAGTGGCAAGACTGGCCCAATCGGGCAGCTTTCAGGGCCACATGTGCCGAGAGCCGTGCTACTATATCGCGGGGCACCTGGTTTTCTTGTACTATTTAAGATACTAGGCAGAAAAAACTTGACGTTTGCCCACTGGCGCACATGGGCGAGGCGATTGAGCAGACGTTGCCGGTGTTGGTCGCGGGCGGCGTGAGGGCATCCCCGACGTCACATCCCGCCAAAATTGGTGAGACGTCCTCCTGCTGCCGCGTCACTGCAGTGCGAGCCATCCTCTCCACCTCGCTGCGCACCGCGCTGACGTGGGGGCGTTGCCGTGGGTCAGCAGACAGCATCGACTGCAGCAGCTGGCGCCATGCCTCTGGCACCTCGTCGGCGATCACGACGGGGGCGCGCCGCACCGCCTCAATCGCCTCCACGGAGAGAAACGGGACACGTCCTACGAGAAGGGTGTAGAAGGCCACACCGAGGGACCACACGTCCAGGGCGAACGGACTTCCTCGAGCGCCCTCGTCAGCGGAGTGACTCGCGTCCTCCGCCTCGCCCTTGAGAGAGAACATTTCTGGTGGCATAAATGACGGCGTCCCCTCAAAGCGGTTTAAGACATCCTCCGCCCCCTGCTCAAGAAAGGCAGCAACGCCAAAATCGGCAAGAAAAGCAGAATTTTTTTTATCTATAAGAATGTTCTCTGGTTTAATGTCGCGGTGCACGACGTTGCAGTCGTGCAGGTACTCCAATCCGGCGAGGATTTGTCGCGCGTAGAGAAGAAGGGTTTCGGGTGCCATTTTGGGGCATCGTCCGTCGGGGCCCACGACGGCGATCGTCCCATTGTCGATGTACTGCATCACAAGATACAACTTTTCCGCGGCAGGGTCGTCAATCACCTCATACAAGGTGACGATGTTTTCATGCTGCAGCCTTTTCATAACCTCAATCTCGCGCTGTAGCGCCTCCGCTTGCTTCGCCGAGGCGTCCTTGTAGAACGCAAGCTGGTTATCCCTCACCTTTGGGCGATGAATAATTTTAATGGCCACGGTTTCCTGTCTTGAGAAGCTGTATGCCAGTTTGACCTTGCCTGAGGTTCCCTTTCCAATGTTCTTCAGCACCACATATTCATTAAGGATCTTTGCGCCACCGAACCAGTCCTCCTTATGGAGATACCTCGTTGTGGAAACCTGCTCAGCTGGGGACCGTGGGACGGAGTAACGTCTGCTGCGTGGCGGTGGCACCAAGCTGGCACTCTTATCACCGTCTACCGTGGTCTTCCCTGCAGTCGGATGCGTTCCCCCCATTGTTGCCGCTGGCAGCCTTTGACGTAGCTTGAGCTCCTCCTCCTCAGACTCCTGCCGATGCGGAGCGCCTTCAAGCAGTGGTGCGCAGTATGCGTTGCCTGCCGCTTCTTCACCGGCGGCGTGCAGTGGGGAAACCACAGAGCCGCCGCAATCATTCTGTGGCACGCCTGACAGTAGCCAATGTACTTGGCAGCAAAATGAAACAAGATCGGCGTGGCTCATGCGGGAGAAGAGGCGCTCCGCCTCCGCGCCTGTGCCGAGCTCCCACTCCTTGCCTCTGGGCAGGGTAACCGCGAGCAGGGGCTGCTCCGAAGTCTCAAGGGTGTGCGGCGTGGCCACGTCGCAAACCTTGTGCACCGCTTTGGCGTACCACGACAAGAGGGCCTCTGCCGTGAGGGGGAGTGGCTCCCCCTGCCTCTGTGCCTCACGCGCGCACCTCGCCCTCCCCTCCACAGCCAAACTCCGCTGCGCAGGCGGGGGGCACGGGTAGGCTATCGCGTGTTGTCTTCCGCTCTGCGCCGCTGCCATCTCCACTGTACTCGTCATTCGCCGCGGCAAACGCGGAAGGAGGGAGAGTGCGGGGGAGGGCAAACAAAAAAAACGAGAAGGAAAAAGTAAAAGAGACAAACGGTGCGAGAGAGCAAGAGGGGGTTCACCAAAAAAAAAGGACAAAAGTGGAAGCTCCAGGAGAATAATGCACGCGTAGAGCCGCCTGCTCGCCGCCGACCTGCCGCGTGCATCATCAGAAAGCAAGGAAATCGGGAGCGTTGCCCCTCCCGCGGCGGCAACGCTGGGGGCGTCCTCAACGGCGCCTATACATCTTCTCCACGCGCCCATAGACGTGAAAAAAAGGGGGTAGAATATACTTAATGGCTTCAAGACACTTCGTTTTTTTTTTTTCTCCTCGGCAGCACAGCCGCCCCACGGGGCACAATTGTCTACGCCATAAAGCCGTCTCCCAGTTCCACGCTAGCGCCCCACTCGTTCCCTCTATCCGGTCAGAAATGGACGACGCACGCACGCAAACTCACAGAGGCACACGTGCATACATAGAGATGTATGCTACAAGTGCATACACGCCTCAATACAGACGAAGGCGCACTCAAACTCAGAGACAAATGAAACGAAAACAAGAGAAAGAAGAACTGCCGCATCGAATCCACCGGTTTTTCTTTCTGCCTTCAGCTTCCATCCCTTCTCCATGGTCCCAGCAGAAGGCGATAGAAACACACACATACAAGCAGAGAACAAGCATGGAGGGCAAGTATAAGAGGAGGGACAGAACTGAACAGAAGGATTATGAGAGAGAGAGAGAGAGAAGGAAGGAGAGAGGAGTAACGGCATGTGGTTTACACAGACGGACATATACATTACACACACACGTGTTGCACGTGAAGCG